GGGGCATTATGATTAGCACACATAATGTAGCTGGGGTGGGGTACATGGGAAAGGCAGTATATAGAGAGAAGACAAGTAATAATTCTATAGCATCTTACCATGCTGATGGACAGTGACTGTAAGGGGGTATGTGGGGCAACTTGATAATACAGGGAGTCTAGTAACAATGTTGTTCAAGTAATTGTACATTAATGATATCAAAATAATAATAATAATAATAATAATAATAATAACCAACTAAAAAAAATGCAGTAGGCCAGCTGGGAACACTAACTAAGCCATGCCAGCACAGGCCATGCCAGCATAAGCTCTGGTTCAGTGTGGGTGTTCGGCCATTTGATGATGGACAGTAAATATCAGTGTTTCTCAATTCTAGACTGTGGAAACCTTTTTTTCATGATTTAAAGCTATTTCTACTCAAGGTTTTTGCTTCTTAAAGGCCTATAAACTTATCAATAATAATAAGCATTTATTAACCATTCTCATGTCACTGCCTGGGCTGCAGAGGAATAGGTGTGGGAGGAGGGGGAAGGAGCACAGAGCAGAAAGTAGATCCAGGCCAAGGAAACTTATTATCAATGAGAAAAAATTAATACTTTTATACATAATCCTATTTTCTAATGTGAATTCGGTATAAAAATTTATATTATTTTGTTATTGAGATATAATTCACATACCATAAAATTCAACTCTTTGTACAACCTTCACCAGTACATAATTCCAGATCATTTTAATCACTTCAAAAAGAAACCCCTTACCATTATCCCAGATCTCCCCATTCTCCCCAATCCCAGCAACCATTAGTTTGCTTCTGTCCCTACAGAATTGCCTACACTTGACATTTCATGTAAGTGGAATCAATACAATATATGTGCTTTTTTGTGTCTGGCTTCTTTCACTTAGCATAATGTTTTCAAGGGTCATCCATGCTGTCCATGTGTCACTCATGCTACAACCTGAAAGCAGGAATGCAGCATATACTTTGTTCCTTTTTATGGCTGAATAACATTCCATTCTGTGGATATGCCACATTTT